GCAGCGACCTCCGGCTGGTCTTCGCCGCCACTCCGGGCCAGTGACTGGTCTCAGAGCGCCTCCTGGTGGCCGAGCGCGGGATTCCATCCAGGACGACCCGGGATTGGGACCACCTGGGTGTGCGCACGAACTTGGGTGGACTGAGCTAGACCTAAATCAGCTGTCTGAGGGAGGATCGCCCTCCTGAGGAGAACACGAGGGATTGGCGGATGCCAAGGCCGTGGAAGGCCAGAGCCCTGGCTTATTTTGTCAACCCTTCCCCATTTTAGAAATGGGAGATGAGGCCGGAGCAGAAGATATGGTTTGTCGGGCCCACCCAGCCAGTGCGTTTTGCCTCGGTGCCGCCTCTCAATATCAGGGTCCGGCTCAAATCGCACCCATTCCAGGAAGTCTTCCCTGACCAACAATGACGAACCCACTTTATGTCTCATCATATACTTTACACACGTGTCTCATTTGCTACATTCTGCCAATATTTATTTGGTGCCCCCCACTACCTACCAGACACTCTGCCAGTTACAACGGTGGCAGAGAGAGACCAGGCACCTGCCCGTGTGTAGCGCACAGTCTGATGAAGGAGGTAGAAGCTCATCTGAAAGCCATGCAAATGAATATACAACGACTCATGGGGAGAAGGACCATGACTAAGTATAACAAGGAACCTGGTCTGGTGGGAGAGGCAAGGGGGGAAGTCTTCCCTGAGGAAATCATGTTTGTGTAGCAGCCATCGAAGAACAAGAGGATGGAACCTGGAAAGGACAGGTGGGGAGTACTGGGGAAGCAGGAGGAAGAGATATGCAAAGGCCCTGGGGCAGAGCAGCGTGAGTCAAGGCTGAGGACCTGCAGGAGGCCAGCCTGGCAGCAGTTCAGAGCACAGGGAAGAGAGGCGGTAGATGAGAGTGAGGTTCGGGCCCAAGTCTTTGAGGGACTCCTGAGCCGGGAGAGGGAATTCTGTTGTTGATGAGAGCAGAAGGAAACTGTTGAAGGCCTTGGTCAGGGGAGTGACCCTGCGTTTTGGAAAGCTCCCTCTGTCTCCCCAATGAAGAATGGCCGGGAAAGGGGCAAGAGCAGCAGCAGGAGTGGTGAGGAGGCCAGAGCCGGACCAGAGGCGACTGTGGAGGCCTGCACCAGGTGGAGGTGGAGACAGAGGGGATGTCAGTACAGGGAGAGGCTTCGGTGGGGTTCATGAGGTCAATTCTGAACATGCTGGCTTGAGGAGCCCTTGAGACATACATGTAGGCATGACAAGGCTCTGGGATGCCGAGGAGAGGTGGGTGGGCGAGAGGAGTCTGGGTGCTCAGGGTGGAGACAGTGCGGGCACAGGAGAGATCAGGCAGACTGCAGTGAGAGGAGGGAAGCAGGCCCGGGCCTGGCTGGGGGACTCAGGAGTGCACCCATGAAAGACAAGAGGGGAAATGGCCACAATGTCAAGGGCAAACCAGGACAGGGTGGCACCCCAGAGGCAGTGGGACAGAGAGTTGCAAGGAGAGGGGTCCATGTGGTCAGACTCCAGAGAAGCCAACTGGGATGGGACACAAAAAGGCCCGCTGGCTTTAGCAATATGGCCATTGGCGGGCCTGGCAGACGGTGCTCCAGTGAGGTGAGGGTAACAGCAGAGGCTGGTAGAGTGGGGTGAGGGGGCAGGGAAAGGCAGGGGACGCAGAGAGTATGGACATGATGTGAGAGGAAAGACACTTTCGAGACCGATGAGGCTAATTGTGACCAATACCCAGGGGAAAGATTCGGTTTAGAGAAGGCCGTTGATGAGAGGAGAGGAGTCTCTGAGACGCTGGAATGACACAGGGTTGGCACGCCAGAGAGTCTGGTGGGTGCTCCCTGGGAGACATGAGGGCAGGGTCAGAGAACAGGAAGCCTGCGTGAATGTGGGGGAATCCGGGGTGACACCCACCTCCAGACTGTGACCACTGGTGAGGGTTGCTGAGGTGTCATGGAAATGCAAGGTCATCCTCTCGGACAATAGAGTCACCTGGGATTTAGCAAGACCTGGGTGAGTAGAAGACTGTGAGCCAGGACGGAAGCATGGCAAGAATGAGGTGGAACGCAGCCCTTGGGGGGGGCGGGGGAGGGGAGGAGGCAGGGACAGCCCAGTGGTTCCCAGCCTTCAAGGAAGGAAGGAGGGGTCTTACAGGAGGAAGATGGTCTGGAAGCAGCTGTGGGGAGCGAGGGTACCAACCTCTTCTTCGTGGGAATGAAAGCAGCACCCCTTGGGGGAGAGGGTCCGGGAAGCAGTGTTCCCACGACAGCCAGTTTAAAAGAGCCCGAGTCGGGGCGGGGTGAAGGGCTGTCAGTGACCAGGATGGAGACCACCTGTGTGTGGGGGGCAGAAGACAGATGGGGGCTGGATTCGCACTGCCTGCAAACCAGGAATGAGGGGGGGTGGCAGGCTAATCCTCCGGGTTAGCCTCTGCGGAGGGTGCACCCCGGGCCAAATGGACAGTGGCCTGGGAGGAGCCGCAGAGCCACCTCAGAAGGAAGGAACTCTTGTTCCCATTTGACAAGGAAACGGAGGCAGAGGCAGAGAGAGGTTAAGTAATTTACTCAAGGCCAGGGAGCATAACCACTTATTACTAAGTGATTATATTATTATTATTAATTACTGTGTGCAAATCTTGGAGCAGAGTTTGAACTCTTGTCAGTCTGACTCCTAAGTAGGTGCTCTTGTCCGTCCTGCCTTTCCCAGCAAAACAAAAGGTGGCTCCTTTCCCACCCCAGCCCTACGAAGGAGAGCCGCACCGTCATGGTGGGACTCCCTGCAAAACAAAAGGCGGCTCCTTTCCCCACCCCAGCCCTACGAAGGAGAGCCGCACCGTGTGTCTCCCGAAACCCCAACTTCGGTGTTTCTGGCCTGTGAAAGGCTTCTGTCTCCCTGCACCCCAGAGGGGGTGGGGCTGGCAGCCTGCAGGGCCAGACCCTGAGCACTAAGGACGCATCAGTGTCTGGTGGCCCAGTGGTTGCAGAGCATTGAGTAGAAAAGGAGGGATGGTGACCCGGGTGCTCCCAGGATGAGGTAACAGCCCCCCCCCGCCACTTGGTTTCCCAGATCCCGCATAAGCCTTCAGGCCCCCTCTGCGTGGCTGAGATGGGGTTCACTGCCAGCCCTGGGAAGGAGAGGAGGGCCGGGCAGATTGAAGGGGCGATCGGTAAAACCAAGGAGCCTGGGGGCTCCTGTTCCTGGCTCGCCTGCCCCTCTGAGTTCTGAGCTCCGGGAGGCTGTGGGCTTAGGGATGCTTAGTCGTTTCTCCAGCACTAGGTTCACGACAGTCTGTCAATATTTGCCGGTTAAGCCCGCTGTGCAGCCTGGGGCTCCAAGCCAGCGGAGCCGAGCGGTCTGACGCTGAGTGCCAGCCCCACTCTGGGCTAGCTTGGTGACTCTGAGCCTCAGTCTCCTCCTCTACAAAATGGGTTTTGCACTTGGTTTAATGCTCTGCTGTCCTCATTTTGCCTTCGTAACCCAATTTCGGAGCAAGGGGCCCCGCATTTTCATTTGGGGCTGGGCCCCGGCAAATAACGTAGCTAGTCCTGAATGGGAGTGATATTACCTACTTCAGAGGGCGGTTGCAAGAATTAAAGCAAGGAATCTGCCTAAAGTGCTTAGCACGTGAGTGCGTAGTAAATGGGTTCCTCGCTGTTCCATCAACCCGACGCCCATGTTCGACAAATGAATGGAAATGATCAAGTGGGCGAGGGCTGAGGGAGCATCTGGGAGCGACAGTGCCAGGCTGCGGGGCTGTGCGGGAAGGGGGGCGATTGCCACAGCAGCCAGTGCTTCGCGGTGTGGTCCAGACCTGGCCGCCACATCCCGCAGAGTCCACTTGGTGAGAGCGACACCCTGGGTTCCAGTCTTTATTGCGGGGATGTGGCCTCGCCCTGAGCAGTCCAGTCGTCCGTCTCTAGCTCCGGGGCCTCCCAAGCATCTGGGTCGCCATCGGGGCTTCCCCAGCGGATCCTAGCCTCGCCCCAAAGTCTGGGGAGGCGGCGGGCGCGGTCCGGGGCGGGAGCGGGGCCTCGGCCGGCCGGTGCTCAGAGGAAGGGGTTGGTGCCG